ATATATATTTTGCTACACAATTTGTTGTGAAAAGAATTTGTTAAGACACTAGTTTCATAAATAAACTCAACCTTTTGAATGCTCTAAAGAATGCCTTCTGAAAGATAATTTTTTGTTAAATAATTGAATTTTAAAGAATGCAACAATTTTATCTCCTTCTTGTTACTTAACATTCACTTCACAGTTATGGTGCAAAGGAGGTGCACATTTCACGAATACAGTGATATGTGATTTTGATGTTTATGTTAGCTAGGCTTTTTTGTGTGTATTTTTTGAATTTTTTTTTGGTCTTGTAAGTCATTAGTATCTTCCTGTGCTACGTACTATGATTTATATATTATCCATGTGAGTTTGTACAACTAATTAACTATGATAAATGGTCATTTTGGATAGGACTTTTTCTTTACCAAATTCACTGGACATGTAACCTTGTATCAAAAGACTTCCTACATACAAATAGTGGCATGTTTTTGGCTTTCCTTACACCTTCAAGTATGTCCTTGAATCAAGTATATTTTTTTTGGACATTTCAAGCTAACAACACACAACAATTATATACATAGGTGGATATTCATGGTTTAAGGATTGTGAGCAAGTGCGATAAACTAGATATTAGCTTTCATAAGGTAATTTATATATATGTGCATTTGTTTTATTTATTTGGACATAAAACAATTATACCTTTAATTTATTCAATTTAGTTGCAGTCATTTACTATTTTGCAACGCAGTTTTGGGTCGGTTAATGTCAGAACTGGTCTTTTTCCCAATAGAGAAGTTGTACTCTCTTTTATCTTTTCAAAGACACTAAAAACATCCAAATCTGATGTCAGGAGCTATAGATATGGCCTACACAAAAAATAATGTCAAAATAGGAAAAAATATGAAAATTAACTAAAATTTACAACTAAAACCAAAATGACTAGCTAGAATAAATCAAAGTTAATATATCACAATATGATACTAATAAAAGTTAAATAAACAAAAAATATTGCATAGAAAAAAAATATACAAAAATTGATCTATCATGTATCTGTTTGAATTTTTTGCACACTCCTAATTTCAACCGTGGAAAAACCTTACAGTACTAGAGATTTATCTTTTAGTTTAGTGATGAACTTGCGATACTTTTTCAGTTATACTGTGTTGGTCGGATATGGCCTATGGAGATGAACGTTTTAGCTTGAATAGGTAGAATATTAGAGGCTTCACATTTGAATGTTTAATCGGTGCTTATTCATACTTTAGATTAAAAAAAAACTTCAAATCTTATACTTTCTATACTCCGGTGGTTTTTTTTTTTCTTTTTCCACAAGAACTATAATGATTCATATATACATGCTTATATGACTTTTCTGTTGATTACATAACAAGAATAATTATCGTGGTTAGAGTATAGCAAGGTTTTGAAAATAAACTTTAGATGGTTAATGCATTGGGTATCATACCATCTCATAAGTGTTGAGATAAAAATAAGATCCCACATCATTAGAATAAGAGAAGAAAAAAGAGTTTATAAAGTACACACAACTTCACAATGATTAGATATTGTCCACTTTGAATTTAAACACTCATAATTTTACTTTGTTCATTACCTAAAATGCCTCCTCTTTGTTCCTATAATGTGAGACCTTGTTTAGTTTATATCTCAACAATCAGAGGAACATAATTTAATTTTATTTATGAATTCTCTATTTATAGAGAAAAGTTGTGATATAATAATCAAATATTGATATTATTTTATTCTAAAAACAAAAAAAGTCTTAAAATAATAAAAACAAATTCAATCTAAATATTTGAAACATAAATAAAAGATTCCTATAAAAATGAATTTATTCTCCTAAAGATATTTAGGCATATTTCTAACACTCCACCTTGATTGAATATCTTTATCACTTAATTTGAATTTAAATTTCAAAATTTGTCTTTTCTCTTTTTGATCATTTTCTTCCTTTTATTTTTCTTATGATTTTTATTGCAATCTTTCTTGAGTATTGTTTGATTGTTTGAGACTCCTTCATTCTTTGTAACCAAATTCTCTTATTAAATTTAGCACTTGCATGCTTTGAATCCTTACATCTCCAACATATTCTTCCTTCATGTAATCCCAAATTGCTTTTGGTGATTTGAGAGTCATGATCTTGGTGAAAACATTTTGTGAGACACAAGCAAATAGACAACTTTTTGCCCTTGCCTTCTTGATTTTCCTTTCTAAATATATATTGTTGAATCTCATTCAAAATCAACACTAAAATTGCAGATATATGTTAAATATATTTATACATATATTGTATTTATGATGACACTTTTTGTTTATCACTATACATAATATTTCTTGAATGTCTTTTTTTTTTTGTGTGTGTGCTTATTTTAGACTATTTTATTTATGTAACTACTTCTAACACACTCAATTACTTATTTATGTGAACCAACATTGGTTGGTATAAGTGGTAATGACTTGTGTTTCTTAACCAAGTTGTCTAAGATTCGAATTCTGATCTTGGGTATGAAACAAACTATGTTGGGAGGAAGAATATTCACCTTGTGTGTGCTTACGATCTTCAATGGAGATTAGTCATTAATTTTGATAGTAAATATTTCGTACCAATATTATAGTTACAAAAAAAAAACTTATTTATGTGCCATTTTTTTAATTGTGCCACATGTACAAGATGTTGTTACTCTCAAATGAATGAAAAACACCACATTGCATGATTAAAAACAAGGACCAAATTAA